ATGATATACCGCGGGAGGCTGCGTCCTGATCTTTCCACGCGTCGTTTAGTTACATTCTCTACCGCGATTACGCGCCTCCAGGGGTTGTCACTGCCTCGTCTTTCACGGTACCAGCGTTCGAAGTCGCTACTCGTGGAAATACCCGGATCGGTTATCATTAGCCCTCAAGGGGATTTCGTAATTAATCATCGGCAGCGTTCGCCATCTCCCTATGGCTCTAATACACTGAATTCTTCGATAAATTGTGGCACTAAGAGTTTGTCGCTGTTAGTCGCTGTTTGACACTAGAACTACCGGTCAAAATGGCTCATTGATTTCATTTTTGCCAGTTATTCAACAGATAGATGCTTCTGTGAAAAAGTACTAGAGAAACTGATTTAGCAGTATGCAAATTGAATTGCACCAACTGATGTCTGAATAATTGTCGAGGTTTCTAAAGAGTTTCAGAAAGACAATTTAACTGCTTGATAGTTTTAGTGTTGAATGGTAAGTAAATGGTAGTACTGATAGTATTGCGTTGTCGACAAGATTAACTCTACAACTTAGATTGATCTATATAAAGATTAATTAAATAAGTAGATTGTTAGTATTAATTAACATATATAGATTAATCTATCGATGCTTAATGAAGCTTGACATTGAGTCCGCAAGATTAACACTTTACATTGAAAGTTTTTCATTAGAAATATTGAACACTCTCTGATTAGACGATATTTTTCAGAGAAGTCAAACAATTTAATGCTTCACAGATTGCATTATGCAGAGCTTAATACTGAATACCAAACTTCATAGTTACTAGTGCGTTGAATGGAATGGCGCGCAAAGGGTTAACAGAAAATTTGGCAAGCGAGAAACCTGAACGACCGCCTCGTTATCGGGACTCGCGTCTATCAGCCACTGAGGAACATTCAAAGAGGCGAGATAAAGCCCGATGAAAGGAAGCGGTTGCGTGCACGGTTTCGTATTACCAGATTTTCTTATTCGCTAATCGCTGAACGGTGCCCGCACAGATAGACCACCGGACACAATTAATCCAGACCGAGGGAGCGTAATCCAAGAAGACCGTGTCGATATCTGTCTCCGCGTAGGGCAGCCGTGTCGCGTAAAAATTCCGGGCATACCGTTCAAGAGAACTCTTTCGTTCCGCTCGACGCTAAAAGCACTGAGTGGCGTAATCGTAATTTCTTAACGGTGGAACCGGTGGAACTTGAATCCTTCTTTTGCAATTATTGAAATGGCACTGGACACTTGTATTTATTAAGCAATACTGAATTATAAATCAACTGAAATTTCAGTAGATACGCTCTTGGAGTTTCTATGGAGAAATTAGGAACTAATCAAGAAAAGTTTATTGGTTCTCTAAAAGAGAATTCTTTTCCCAAAAGTTACCAAAGTTTCTATAGACAAACTAGAAAAAGCCAATTTACTTGTTAGCTCCACCATTAAGAACAATAGTTCTCCAAAAATGAATATAAACCATTTGTTCCTCGAATCTCTAAACTAGAGTTCCTAAAAGTTCATAAACAAAGCCACTTTATTTGCTAGTTCCATCAAGAAAACTACTCCAAAAATGAATATAAACCATTTGTTCCTCAAGTCTCTAGACAGCTATAATTCCCAAAAGTTCATAAACAAAGCCACTCTGCTTGCTAGTTCCATCAAGAAAACTACTCCAAAAACTAGAAGCTACATCTCCGAAGAAGAACATAAACCATACGTTCCTCGAATCCCCATAGAATCTCCGCCAGTTTCCCAAAGTCCGCTCGGTACAACACGCCCAAGGCGCATCCGACTTTTCAAGACCCGGGTGCGATTAGTCGCTGGATGAACGCGTGGCGACGTAGTAGGAGGACTCTCCTCGACTCGGTCGGCGGTCCGGAATTTTTGCAGGAGCAATAAGAATGCCGCGCGAGCAAGTCTCACCCGTGTTTTCGAAATCGGCGGTTCGGAGCGTTCCCGGGCGAGAGTTATGGTCGCTAATCCGGGAAGGCTTGCTCGCGGGCTTCGGCCTAGCCCTGGCTGATATATCGGCCAACGACAACGATCCCGGGAATCCTCGCTCCCGCGTCCTCCAGGGCTAGAGCCTCTCCTTTTAAAAACGAACCTACCGAATTCGTATTTATACGTGCCCACCCGTCGCCCCGGTCCCGGGGGCTTTAAAGCCTCCGCGCGCCGTGGCGGTCACGGTTCGCGTTCTACATTCGCGTCACAGTTCACGAGATTTATCGGGCGAATAAACCGGTCGCGATAAGCCTAATACGAAACAGCGGACACGTTTAATTATAGACCGCGGATTATCGCTGCGAAACGATGCCCTAATCGTGCCTATTCCGCTGGCTTCTCGGGGCTGAGTTCCTTGTTTCTTTCTTCTTCGGAGATCTGAAAGAAGTCGGTAGCTCAGTCAATGAAACTAGGAATTCGAATTGAACAGTTACGTACCGATTACTTGAATTATGCAGTGGAACGTTGCTATGATGGAGGCACTGTGGTGCAAAGTAGTTACAGCATTGCAGCTTCGTGAACTTGACAATTGCTGTAACAAGAACGGTTCAGTGAAGAATACTAAATTAGTTAAGTGTCTAATGATAGTTAATAACCTCTGGGTATACCCTAAAGATTGCGTAGCAAGCATCTAAAAGATTCTTTACATCTGAAATATAATTTCGTTGGAGAATGTTCATCGTAGAACCTGATATAATTACCAAATGTCCTAGAAGAAACTGTGAAGCATTCTTGGAGATAAAAGAAACCTCCTGAAGATGATCCGGTTAGAAAAAGAGTTGCTAAAACAGTAGATCAATATACAGTAAAACATTCATTCCCAGAGATAGATGTTATTCTCCACTTTCCTCCGGAATCGATGCAAGGTATCCAGAAGTGTTCCGTGAGAAGGGGTGAACCGACGCGCGTCACTTTCAGCCGAGATATCGTGACCCTGCTTATTTGCGCTGAAATCAGGCCGTGGATGTAATCGTCGCGTTAAAATAGATCTCTAGTAAACAAGGGCACTGCTTTGGATTAATCTCCGACCAAACGATAAAGCAATCGTGAATTGTAATCATTGAGGACGAACTAGAATCCCCTAAACCCTGCAACCTATTAGCCTACTATCATCCAGGAAAAAAAAATACACGAGGACCCCGAACACGCAGCTCGACGCCACCAGCAAATTCCAATCGATTACAATTCTGAAACGGTTTTTCGGGAGCTGCGAGACTCGGCTTTCTCTCAGCCCCGGCGAATCTACGCTGTGCACCGCGCCAGATAAATGATAACGGAATAACAGTTGTTCCGTTGGAAAATGAGGCGGGAACGGAGGAGACCCGCGATAAATCGGTCGACGGCGAACCAAGTGCCGAGAACACGGTCGGGCCCCCGTTCGCGAATTATCGCCGTCGCTCGTTAGGTAATTCTCGCGATTTCGCATCTGTTTTTGGCTCTCCGCTCGCAAAACATCGTGCGCTTTATAGTAAACACGATAACCGACCGCGATACGGGCCGAAGGAGAGCGTCTCAACTTCGGTACACGAGGTCAACGGTACTGGGGACCGGGTCGCCGCTGATCGGTACCGTGTACGAATGTAATTACTGCGCTTCCGGTGTCCGAGGCACCGCCGAGGAGGACGACGCGGCGCGACGCCATGGCGACGTCGACGGGCCCGAGATACCAGCCGACGATTGGCTCACGCGGAAGATACCGCTAAGATGAGCTATCGCCGCGCAGATGACCCTCTGTGCCCCTTGCCTCGAGTTTTTCTTTCATCCTCCCACCTTCCCCGCGTCGGCTTCTCTTCCCTCGTGCTCCGTAAGGACGACTTGCTCTTTTTCTCGCCCCTGATACCACGTATCTTCGACGCTCCCGGCGTAGAACTCGGTTTCTTCGGTGACGGCGCACACCTTGATGTCCTTGGTCCAGGGACGTGAGTTTATATTTGATTCCTGGATGTTTCGGGTATCTGGGAAGATTCTATATTAGTGAATGCATTGATGAAGCATAGTTTTTTGATAGCTTAGCTGGTAGGATTGAATAATACTCAATCTTCTGCTCCTAATCAGTAGATTATTCACTGTAGAACTAGATTTCTTCGATGCTGGCGCACATCTTGATGTCCTTGGTCCGGTGACATGGGTTTCCATTTGATTCCTGGGTGTTTTAGGTACCTGGAAAGATTGTATATTAGTGAATGCATTGGTGAAGTAGGTACTTTGATAGTTTAACCGGCAGGATTGATTGATACTCTATCTTTTGCTTCTAATCAGTGGATTACTCACTACGCCACTTGCCCTGCTAGATCCACTGACCCTGCTTCTCACGGAATTTGATCTTTCGACCGGTAGCATCCTCCCATTGTAACATAACAACGATACTCCGTTGCGCACACGCTGCAGGGCTAATAGCATCTCCTCGAGGGTGCACGTGTTTATTGCCCAGACTCCCCTCAACGGGTATCGCTGATTAGCCGATGGATCATTACGTCCACACGTGTCTTGCCGCCCTTCTGGCCTATATTACATGATACAACTCATTAACCACCGAACACTTCAACCTAAGCATCAACCCTTCGACGAAGACTTTCCGAAATGTACAAAACCTAAAAACATCAAATTTTATAGTTACTGCATCGAATCAAGTGGTAACTAGTGATACAGAGAAACGTTCAGATAGAAGCTGCCATGAAGACTGATCGAATAAAAACATTTCGAGCGCGTGTATAGACTACCGTGGTCGTATTTCGTGACATCAACGGTCCATGCACCCTGAACAGTTTGTAAACACATAGGGGGTGTGCATTTAGCGTGGACAGAGACAGTTTTATACGGGAAACCGAGCGTGAAGCAACAGAATTTTTTAAATATTTATATCCAGCCTTCTCGCCTCTGTGTCCGCTGTATCAATAATCACATTAACAAACTACCCTCTAGCTGATGTCGGTTCCTGTAAACAACTCCGCGAAGATCTATAACCGCGCAAACATCCGTGGTACAGCGATAAGCGACCGGGCGATAACGCCGGAAGAACGGACAGGGGCGAGAAGCGCCGATTGGGACGCAGCAAAGCCGATCCCCGAAGCGAAGGTCGTTGTCTTCGTGGCCGTTGCCGCGCAGAAACCGTGGCATTCGCATTCCTGAAATGCTGCGGGTCCCGCGAGGAATCGGCGTCCGGCGCCGATCAGCGAAATGCTATACGCCAATGACATCACGCTGCGAATCGCAGACGCCCGCTGCGTTTGAAGCCGCTCTTTTCTCTCGCTTTCTCTTCGGCACGCAGCCTGGCCGCTTTTACAATTTTTTCAACGGTATTCGGTGACAGTTTCCGTCGATTTTCATTGTTACACATTGCAATGCTCTCACTTCGAGGATACGATTTTTGTTATTTATATAGAACTGTAGTTTTCTACAAAGTAGAACAAAGCATAACTTTAAATCTACCGTTAGACTCGCAGCAACAATGGCTAGACTAATTTAACATTAGAACTACTTTCTAATCGATTTCTCCTCTTCGCGATTATTGAAAACATAACAGATTCTCTGAGATGCGATTAAGGAAATTGATTTGGCAATACGCAAGCTAAATTGTAAATCAATTGAAGTTTCAGTAGATACGCTCTTGCAGTCTCTATAGAGGAATTTCAAATGTCAATTTCGGTGCTCGGTAGTTCTAGTGTTCTAGTCTAGGGTGAACAACTTCGTTACAACTGATCCAATCTCAGGACAAAGACGGAAACTACCCCCAGCTGAAAAGTAGTCTCGCTGACCCAATATTTGTTGACTGTCAAAAAAACGGCGGACTCGTTTCGAATCTGCAAGGTCCGCGATTCGCTGGCGACCTACTCCGAAACGGTTACCGCAATTTCATCAGCGAAGGCCAATTTTCGCAAACCGAATTATGTCACCGGTGCATTCTTCGACGCCTAATTACGAAACCCTACGATTGCGTCCAGCTGAGAAAGAGAGAAAGAGAGAGAGAGAGAGAGTGAGTTATTGAGGAAATTTCCCTTCGCGGTGTTTTCCGTCGGCGAAACGAAACAAGGGATCCCGTGACGAGAGCAGATGCAGCCTCGTAGGTGTCGCGTAGCAGGGCTCTCCAGTTGCAGTCAGGTGTGTTAGCTAGGCGACGTTTGACGTTATCGCGATCTCGTTGCTTGTTTTCGCGGCGTGGATCCACGTACCGAGGACGTGCGTGTACGACACGTTCGCCTGGTCTATCATGACTGTTTTCATCGGTCGATATCGCTCGTTCGACGGGAACGTGATCTGCAAATGTGAGGATCGTTAGAAACACTGGACAATTCGAGTAACGATCGTGTAATGGAAAATGGCGAGGTTCGTTTGATTTCTGCAGCTTGTTGAAGACAAGTCTTACAAGCAGAGAGCTAGAGTAAATCTGGTTTCTTGAAACCCCATGCATGTTATATGTAAAATGAAAAACTTTTGACAGTCCTCTATTTTTGAAAAAGAGAGTTATAAGTTTGACTGCATAGGGTTTCGTTAACCCCATAGAATAATATAAATAAAATAGATTTCTCTGTCCTTGCTAATCGCCGTCTGAGATAGTGGAACTGTAACGCTCTAATATAGTAAAGTTACAGTAATGTAATAACAATGAGAATAATATAATAATAGAATTGCAAGATCTATTTAATATTAAATTCAATATAATGCGATTATATTGAATTGTTGAGATAGAATAGTGCTGTCCCTTTATATTATTTAGATCTAGCTAAAGATACCAGTGATATTTCATTAGAAACTCGCGACTGCAAAGCAATTAACACGCTCGTTAACTTGATATTTTGGAAATGAGTATGCGGAGAATATTATAAGAGAGATATTTTTTCCGGAAAAACCACGCTAACATAGGAGGGCCTCAAATCTCTGATACGTCCGTGCGTTTCCCTTTTGTTCTGCTCTCTCTCTCCACCCCCTGCGCGTCGAGTTCTCTTCCCTCTGTTCCGCGCGAGTTATCGGTGTCCGGTTACATTCAGTTCCAGTTACACGTGCCGTGGGGCACACTCATTGTCAGTAGTCATGCACGTACGCACTCCTTTCTGAGTACGTGCCTTCTCGTTTCACGGTGATTTCAACTCTATTTCTAAGCCACTGACAAGCTGCGCTGCGCGAAAGAACTCAGAACGCTCAAAATCCACTAAAATCTAACTAAAATCTTCTTCGTTTTTGACCCCTTCAGGCCTGAATTTATACCGAATTACGTTCACTTATCTGACAATAATGGACCGCTATTCGATGCACCATTGGTAACATTATTTTGGCTTAAGTATGGTTGCCTGTCACAGTTCTAATATTCTGATAAATATTAAAGCAGTAAAACCGTATATTATAATATGCCTGGGCCTGAAGGGGTAAAAGTATTCAGGAACAGACTTGTCAGTTGAATCTCAGAATAACAAAGGTTCGACTATTGTGTCTAGATTTCGATACAACCCCTAACAGAGCGAAAAGAGGTCTGTTTTTAATAATAATCGAACCCACTGTTAAATGCCACCGGCGATCAGCGCAGAATTATTTTGTCCTGAATCACGATTTCTTCAAACCGACCGCGAGCTTATCGTCTCAAGTATCTGGAAGGGGGCGAATTCCTTTCAGAGATCCAATTGTTTTACGCCGCTGCGATTTCTCGGAATCGCTTTCCGTGTGCGGTATCGACGCGCGCAGGCCGATCGGGCCATTGTTCACGTTCCCGGAGGAACGCGTGCCGTAGAAAGAAATCACCGTGCTCCTCGCGTTAGCCCAGGGAATCCTCCTGATAACACGGTGTTCGGGAGATGCGTTTGGTGTTGTACAACGCTAGAGTCCTCGAAGCTTCGGGGATCAACCTGAAGCTCCTTGAGGCCTCGAAGACTCAGCCTGAAGCTTTGAAAGCTTCGAAGACTCAATCTGAAGCTTTGAAGGCTTCAAAGACTAAACCTGAAGCTTTGAAGGCTTCAAAAACTCAACCTGAAGCTTCTTAAGGCTTCGAAGATTCAACCTGAAGCTTTGAAAGCTTCCAAGACTCAATCTGAAGCTCCTTGAAGCTTTAAAGACTCAGCTTGAAGCTCCTTCAAGCTTCGAGGATCAAACTGAAGCTTCGTGAGGCTTCGAAGACTCAACCTGAAGCTCCTTGAGGCTTCGAAGACTCAACCTGAAGCTTCGAAAGCTCGACTCTTTACGACTGAAACCGATGTACGCTATATTAACACCATATTGTAAATTTCAAACTTAAACTTTAACCTTCAAAGCATCTCGAATCTCCTAGACTTCAGTTTTAATTCGGTATTAATACAGCAACAGCCAGCTACAGCTTCTAGAGTTCAACCTCTGAAGGCTCAAGGCTTGAAGCTGACCTTGGCGACACTAGATGCATTTCAATGGCGCATTTCAGTGAGCAGCTTCGTGTCGGAGATGCAGAATGGTTGCATGGGTGCGTCGTCCAAGGATCTAGACCCTGTGAGCCTGGGCAGGAGTCTGGCGTCTCATCACGGCTCGCTGAGCCATCATCACTCCCATCATAGTCTGCACAGTTCCTCTTCAGGGGTGTCGATACACTCTGGCTCCGGTCCTCATCATCTGGACGAAAAGGGATCCTCTCCTACGGGTGGTCTGCACAGTACCAGCAACGGCAACCCGTCGACGCCGTCGGCACCGTCCACGCCGACCACAGTGGCGGACGCGTCCGCCACGAGGTCCGGGACCGAGACTGGCAACAGCAGCAACGACTCTGCGAACAAGAAGCCCCCGTTCAGCTACGTGGCCCTCATAGCGATGGCGATACAGCACAGCGGTCAGAAGAGGGCGACCCTCAGCGAAATCTACGCGTACATCACCACCAGGTTTCCTTACTTCCAGAAGAACAAGAAAGGCTGGCAGAACTCCATCAGACACAACTTGTCCTTGAATGAGTGCTTCCAGAAGGTGCCGCGCGACGGCGGCGGTGAGAAGAAGGGGAACTTCTGGATCCTTGGTCAGTTGCTCGCAGAGGAGAGTAGGGTAAACCAATGTTTTTCACTAATAAGCAGCTCAAGCTGGCATTGCATGGCAGACCTGACAAGTTCTCGGTAGTCTGTGATTGACTGGAGATCAGTGGAAGTGTTAAAACATTGGTGTCCTGCTTTATACTCTCCTACACCAGCTGGTCCTACTTATCGACCGAGTAACGCAACCTTGGCTTCCTAACAGATCCCCAGTACGCTGACATGTTCGAGAACGGCAACTACAGAAGGCGTAGACGCATGAAGCGGCCAAGCAGGAACACCATATACCACAAACCCTTGTATGGTGATCCTTACTCCACGACGCATGTCCATCTGGGTCCTAGGAATCTTCTCGGCCACTCACCGCCGTCCTACGCTCCGTCTACCTACACAAGATACGACACTGGGTAAGTAGTCCCCTATTAATTCTCAATTGTACTTGCCATGCCTCTGATATCTCCTACATCCAAGTGACAATCTCATTACAGTGCTTGGAGCCTGCAACAGTCCCAGCTCTCCTACAGCCACTGCCAGTCAGTAAGTCTCTGAACTGTTGCACCTAAAAGTATCATAGTACCAATCGTATCTTTGGAAAACATAATCATGAAGCATCTGTTGCAGCTGCAGCCACAATTGCAGCCGATGCAGTCCATGCAGATACCAACCATGAACGGCTACAGCCAGCTGGGCACTTCCTTAAGTGAGTCTCACCTCCAACTTGCCCCTGTCCTAGCCATTGTCCCTTTGAAATGCTACACGACCTGGCAAAGTGTTTCAAGGCAATTACCTGGATGTTCCAGGTGGAACAGCGAGTTCTCCAGGCTCCATGGGCAGCGGTTCCTTTGGCAGCAGCTTCACCACCTGTGCCAGGAGACACGAAGCTGCCATATCTACAGAAACCATGTCCGCTAGATGTTACTGGCCTGAAAGTAGGTACCTCTTAATCGACTCCTCTATTCTTTAAGTCAAAATGCTCTCTATCAAACTGTCCACTTACTGTCCCAGTGGTGAACGTTAAGGAAGAGCCAGGAAGCGTAGCAGTGTCCAGCACAGGTGTCACTGGTGTCGGTGTCCCTTCTGGCATGATGGGCTCCACTGCTCCAACAGGGGTCTCCACGACAGCCTTCGCTCCAATGGAGTTCCAGTCGCGGTCAAAGTGCTTCATGTGAACGGATGCAGCCTCTGAAGAGCTCCTAGCCCACTCTTCTATCACAGCTGCTGGGACTCCCCTCGCGTTCAACCAATAAAGAACAAACTCGACTGGGCCCTGGACAGCTTCCACAGAGAAAGAGAGTCGAGTGTACCGTCAGTTACAGGGAACCTGGCACTCGTGATGTCACAGGAGCGGAGACAGTGGGTTTGAGACGTCCAACGGCGAGTTTGGAAACGGCTCTCTCATTAGTGTGCGCGGACGCCTTAGCCAATCGTATACCAGAACCGGGAATTCACGCGAGGAAGGCGTGCCCCTTCGAATTTGACCACTGAGGCGAAAGCGCCAGATTCCCTGCAACGGACGGTAAATTCGCGTTCTCATTAGCAAGCTTCTCGCAGGACATCGGACCCGTGAAGACCGACGAGAAGTGTAACGCGGCATTTGCCACTAAACAGACCTCCGTCTTCAGTGTTTACTGCTACACAGTATTCGATATTTAAAGGACAACGTTCGTTCGACGAGAACAGCTACGTTAATCGTCAGTTAATTAGCATAAGCGAGGCGGCGAGCTTCCTATACGCATACATATTTGGTTCGTAGAGGCGAACGCGCGCAAACTGCGGATCTTTATGGAGTATCCATGTTTTTCTATTATCTTTGTAAAACCGAGGGAACGAGTCCTTGTCTCCTCCGTCGAAGGCCTCCGGTTCTGCCAATTTGACGTTCAGTTTAGCGACCGATTTCTATCTGTATTTCATGTAAACATCCGCAGTCTGCTTCTCGGTGTATGTCTAGATAATATACTACAGAGAACTCGATGTACATAATCTATCCGACAGCCGGAGTGTATGACTACTGACTGCCCGTCTTCAGATTGTACGAATCCTGGAAAATAGGCAGTTAAATGATCTTGTAATTATGAAGAAGGAAATAAATCTTAATTATTTATCGTGTATTGTAAACGCTGGAGTGGTCATTTACCTTTCTATTAGTGATAGGAGATCGAAACTGGTCCTGATGGAATTTTCAAGAGATTTCCTTTCGCATTGTTCCAATGTGAGTATGCTACGACCCAGTTCTTTCCAGGAAAGCTGCTGGCTCCGGTGCATAAGAATGGGGAGAGAAAAGTGGCGAGTGGTCCGGCGACGGTAAGCAGCAACGCTGATGTTTGCGAAAACGCGGATGTTTTGCAAACACAGTGCGCGGTCGCTGGCTTCAATATTCCCCGTAAAAGAGAGGCTGGCCGTGCACCGCGTCAACACCGTGCGTGCATCAGTGCAGGAATAACACGTGCACTTTATATTTCGCTCTGGAAATCGATCGGACGTCACGTCCCTCGCAAGCTCGAAATAAATCTTGCGTCGTCGATGGCCCTGGAAACCGTGACCATACAATGGAGTCGCTTTATAGAAATCAATGTGTATATTACACTTATTTTTAATTAACGATTCTGTATACGAGCACTTGTACAGTTAGCAACAAGAATTACAACATAATTCATTTATTATGCTGTTTAAATACTGTCTTTGCTACCAGGTAAGTCAAAATGACCAATTCCTAATTGCTTCTTTTACAATTATTGCAAAGTTACAGATTCTTCTGTGAAAAATGATTAATGAAGCTGATTTAGTAAACTGAAATTTAAACTAAGTCTTAATAAATCCACGTTTGTAGTTTTCATAAAGAAACATTGAAAAGTCAGTTTAAGTGCTCGGTAGTTCCAATGTGAATTTTGAAAGTAGTCTGAGTCATTTCAAGCATCAGCTTATAAGTTCACAAGGTTGCACAATAAATTCTCATTCTGCAAGACTAATTTTCTGAACTATCTTGGTACAAAAATATTCAAACATAAACCTTTGAATATTAAGGAACTAAATGTACATGACTCAGACAATTTTCAATATTCTTTTTCTTACAACTAAGATAATTTGCAATCAGTCTACTTTGATTGTATTTTAGCTTTAATGCCGTAGGTTCCTTAAGTGAGAAGCAAAACGTTAATCTAGAACATGGTATGCCTCGAAACTTTCAAAATGACCGGATACGTGTCCAGATACTTTTTCTTTCATTATGTTGCTGGAAGGTAGCCATGTTTGATCAACGTTGGCCTCTATAAACCCAACTACGGGGAGGGTTCGTGGCTTCCTGGCGCCAGTATCTCATTGGTTGCTACGGACAGGTGAAAACACGGGTCACCTTTTCAAGATGAGCGCCCGTAGGTACAGACAGCGCAGGTGAGTTGCCATTGGTCGGGCTGGCCAGGTGAGACTGGATAGCGGAGGGGGAGGATTCGGTGTTCCTATAGGACAATCCTCGCAATCCTTTTTTTCCTGTCGATGCCATTAGCTGTAGGTCGTGCTGAACCTTTTTCTATGAGTTTCGACAACCAGCAGAAGGACTACCATGAGTCTCGATGGTAAAAAACACTGTAGTTCCAGTGGATCAATAAACGTACAGACTAAGGGCTGACGACAGTATAGGCGGTGTTAATTACAAAATCAATATTTACCAATGAAATACTTCCTACACTTCTTCTCAAGTTTACTGTTGAACTATTAAATTAATGGCCATTTTAATATCCTCCTGAGACAACCCTAAACGCTGTGACAAAGAGAATATCTCAGAATCAAGTTCTGAAGTTCATTGGATATTTAGCTGCCAATTAAATTGATGGCCATTGTAAAGTTTCAAACACCTCTAAACTGAAGAGAATACTTCAGAATCAAGTTGTTCTCGAGTTGACTGTCATTCTATGGATACTTGGTTGTCAATTAAATTGATGGCTAATTTAATGTCATTGTCAGACCACCCTAAACGCCGTGACAAAGAGAAGACCTCGGAATCAGATTCTATTTGACTGTTTCCCCATGGAACCTGTTCCGCCGGGCAGCTCATGCCGATACACCAAACATAAATGTCGGATACTGATTGTTTTACGCAAACAACCTCGATAAGCAAACAAGGGCGTTAATCATCGGGAGCGAGCCCCTCTTTGCGGAACGAATCCACTTCGAGTCAGGTAAATCACTCGACGTGTTTCGCCTGGCGCGGCGTTCCCTGGCTCGAGTTACAAAGATGTGGCTGCAATATTTTATAGCGCAACGTGACCGTCATTCAACTATTACTACCCCGAGTCCCTCGGTAAATAAACTAGTCGTAGCTCACTCTTCCGCAAACAATTCGCCAGTCTCTTGACGATCCGATTTACAAGACTTTAACGCTAGGTTTAGCGCGCATTCGCAATTCATTCTATTGTTCCTAGAACACTTGACGTTCCTTTAGATCTTCGAAACTAGAACTTTCAAAATAAACAATTGGACACATGGAAATAGACGAACCACGCTTAGATTCAATAAAAATCGACGCAAAGCTAGCGTTAACTCTACAGGCAATACAGTTTTCCACCAACATGGCGACTTTTCACTGTCGGACGTGATACTTAATTATTATAACTTCTATAAAAATCTCAAAAAATTCTGAGGTACTCACTACAGTCCCTAATTCAATATATAATCAACGCTTCAGTCAAATCTTTATATAATTACTTAAGAAAAATTAGAAACCGCGAAATTGTGAGAAAATGGAATTTCTCAGATTCTAAACGCAAGATTCCAAAGGTCTACAGCTTGATACAATTCAAGACGCCGCGTTCCTAGATGGAAAACCGAGTACCCTTACAATGATAACTCGACGCGTATAAATCACGGTCGTTAAGCGAACAGTCTGATTGATTAATCGTATTTTTCGAAATCCTGGAGTCAAAGTAGCGGCCGTGGCAGCGGCCAGAGACGCCGGGGAATTCCTTCGCTTCCGTCGCGACGGTATTCACGTGCACATGCACCATGGCGTGTAAATAGAGGGCGGAGGTGACATATAGCGACAGCCAGGGCAAGCGGTGTCGACCGTTTAGGCGACTATTAGCAGCTTCACAGGCTCTTCCTCGCACGTGTGCCTCGCTACGCCTTGTTGCCTCCTAATGCTTCAGCCACCGTGGTATCGTTCATCTATTAGACAAAAAAGTCAACCGTCAGATACTTGTTTAAAGACGCTTACCGCGTGGGAATAAAAACAATCGGTGGACGACCGATTCACGTTATGCAAAGCTACCTTACAAACCTGAGTCACAAAATCCTCAACCTTTCATTTCACAAGTCACAATTTCAATTTCAATTAACACAAGTTTCTAAGATTACATTGCAAGAAACTAGGCATTTGCAGTTTAATCCTAGTTTTAAAAGTTTGATCTCTGTTCTGTTAGTTTTGTGTCTATATCATATTCTGTAGTTATAATATTGTATAATATTGTAATGTATGTTATATTACAATATGAACATTATTATTTGAATAATACGTATTCATAATAATATCTATTGATTAATAATTAACATATATAATAACATTAACCCTTTGTACTCCAGAAGTTCCTCACTGGAAACAATATTCTCTAATGAAATGCAGATGACATTTTCTGAGATTGACTTAGTAAGAAAAACTACTCATACTTCACATACTGATGCCTTACAAAATTGAACAACCATCAAACTTTATAATTTTCCTGTGTCATTTACAATTATCGACTGACAGGCCTTTGGAGTACAAAGTATTAATGATACATACATTAACAACTAACAATATTAATAGAACATTAACTGTATCATCTGCCCCTTTCTCTTCCTATCTCCTAATTTAATTTTCTTCCAAAGTGCATCTCTTAAGAGGAATCTGTTTCCTACATTTGCATTCTGTCCATCCATTCAAGACAATTTTCCTCCTAGTTTCCTTCTTTCTCAAGATACGTTTTGTTCGACCTATGACTTTTACCTTCAGATGCATACCTTCCATTGCTTCATATTACCACTTAACCCTTCGCATTCCACAAGTTTTTCACCGGAAATATTCAATATTTTCTAATGAGATGACGTTTTCTTAGATTGAATTAAGAAATCTCACATGCATTGAAGAAGAGAACTATTTTGTTTCAATATTTCGTATATTGATGCATACAAAGTTTAATATTAAATATCAAAGTTTACAGTTTTGCTGTCAAATCATTTGGTGACTTAGAGGCCCCTCTGGAGTGCAAAGGGTTAACACGTTGAATGCCGCACGATTTCATAGTGCAAAATCTACAAAATGAAGGAAATATAATATTAAATCATCTGATTGAATTGCATTGTTATTACTTCACGTTCATCTAACTGAATGTCACCGCATTAGGTAGCATTATTTATAATATAGAAATATTTTCAAATAATCATAGTATAACTGAGTGAACTACAGTAATTTAATTTTGGTGGGGGTCACCGGTGACCCCCATGGCATTTAACGTGTTAATATTGCGTACTTTGCACCTTCTGCAGAAAGTACTTTGTTTCGCTACGTTAACGGATATTCAGAAAGAAAAGTGGTACACAACATGCTCGTTAAAGAGAAAAAGATTTCTGGCAAGAGAAAAACGAAGGACCGCTCACCTTGGCGGTCCCCGTTAAAGCGTGTCAGCCGCGGGATCAATGGGGCAGCGGAATCACGTCGGGAACCGTCGCGTTTCGCGGGTTTAAATTTGGCCTCCGCCTTAAAAATTACTCGGCTCGTTTACGCGGCCGTTAGAGTGGATTTAACTGGACGAAACGAGGGAGAGTGTGTCAGATATCGTTCGACCGAGTTCTGGTAATCCTCGCGCGGGACCGACGGCGATAAATTCAACGGGACGCCGCGGCGAGAGGAACCGGTGTCACGGTGTCCCGCCCCGGTCCATTTGCTACCCGACGCGTCACCTAAAATCAGTTAATTATATTCCACGTCTGACCTAGCCAAATCTATCGCACAACTAAATCCCCGTGCGCACGGCGATACTCTTCACGATGACTTGTACAAATATTTTTCAACCGCCGCTTTAAGCTTTTGCTTGGATATTGTTATTCCCTCGGTATTTGTAAATGCAACGTTTAGAATGGAATCGTTTTCTTATTCTTCAACAGTTTCATGTCGCGTTCAGTTTGGATAGAAGAAATTATTGTTGGAGAATTGACTTATTGGTATAGTAATTTTATGTTTTTGATACGAGAATTGACCGATGATTTCAATAAATTTAAACGGTTTTAGAATGTTGCAGTTGCAACGTTTACAGGGTTACCGTTTTCTTGTTTTTTAACGCGTTGACGTCAAATTCGTTTGGCAGATAGAAATTGTCACTTCATTGACTCTAATCTTTCACATTTAAAATAAATTCATCGCGTCTACTTTCAATACCATAAAACAGTAAGCCCTGTCGCCATATAAAAATTGCAACAACAAAGATCAAAACTAAACATACATAAAGCTCTAATCGCAACAATAAAATAATATACATTCTATAACGATTACTCAATTTCCCATTGTGAAATTTTGAAAAATCAACACATCCCATCAATTGTCTACTTTCTATCCTATACAGTTCATCGATTTCTCCAACGAGTGGCTCAATTATCAACAGCGATCGATTCCGCGTCGCGAGTAACCGCAAGGTATTTACGGTGCGTACCGCCGGCCAGAAGAAAGAGCGTTGACTTTTACAAAGAGCATAACGACACGGACAATTTGTAGCGGAGTGTCAACGAAGCCGTTTCTATTTTCGAGGCGACACGCACGGCTATCTTCCTCCACTCTCGTCCTTTCCTGTCTCCACCTACTCCTCCGTCCCGTCGTTTTTCAGCCGACGGTTGCACCGATTCATCCCCTCCCGCCGTGCCCGTCTCCCCCCGACGTAAATTTACACACGATTAATCCGTCCTCGTCCCCTGTGTCTCTTGTTATCGTGACACTAGCAATTCCTCAATCTGTTCTGAACGCCTCGGTCCTCTTGCCTCTTTCTCTCTCTCTCTCTCTCTCTCTCTTAACGTCCACCTCGACGGTATCCCTGATGGACGATGAAAATAACGGAATACGTGTAAAAGAGGCGAAAGGAACAGTCGATTCGGTGGATAAATATAAAATGCTCTATGGAAGATACTTTAACATTAGCTTTACAGGATGAGTCAATCACTCATATTGAATTTTATAAACATTGATGAATGTCGAGTTTGATTAATGCAGGTACGCTAAGATGAATCCTAATCGTCTAGGTTTAAACCTCTAATTTCTGAAATCTAAACGAATATCAATTTTTCGATAAACAATAGAATCTGTACAATAAATGTCCTGAATCTAGTGTTAACACGTTCTGCCATTTTGATACTTTGAAATGTACAAAGTCTTCAGTAGATGAAGTCAAATTAAATGTCAATTAATTAATAGGAAAAGAGGAAACTGATCTCTTGCTGTCAGAGTAATTATATCATTTGCCTGCGACTTAGTTTTCCAAGTATGAACACTTCATATTATTGCAGGTCCTGCCAAATTACACATGAATGCTTAACAGAGAATAAGGAGACTATGTATTAATCTCTTGCTGTTTAAGTAGTTCAATTATTTATCTGCAATTCGGTATTGCATTAGTAACGATGGAAATGATATTGTTCAATAACTATCAATAAATGCATGCCCTTCGAAAACAGAACTTTCCTAACACTTAACCCCTGCAATATATTTCATTTTGTACATATATTGAATTTATAAAATTCAATTACCGCAGTGATACTGTACTCATGACATCAACGTGATCTTTCTAGATACCTTTCAAGGGTTAAAGTTCAACGGTGCACGGATCGAGCGACGCATTCTATTGAAAATAGAGACGGAAACGGAGGAAGGAACTCGATAGTCCGCGCATTTCGCTGGGGTAACCGGCGATCACGTACCCTATGCGTGCTGAACGCGCGTCTCTCTCTCTCTTTCTTTCCTTCTCCTTCGAGGTCACGTACGCGTGCACGAAAATCGGGGATTATTCGGATTTCAGCGAGACAGAGAGAAAAACGTGTTCGCAGCTTATCAAGATTATTTTTAGGTTTCTCCGAGGAAAGCTTGTTCTGTTGTGTGGAGCATAGGTGTTGTTAACCCTTTGAGTACTGAAACGTTCCTTGCGGATATTTTTCTCTGTAGCTTGACGTCTGATGATCAATTACATTCATTCATATCAGACGCAATTAACACGTTGACTGCTGCGGTGGTCATTGCTGACCGACGCTTAGAAATGACTTGAAAACAATTAGAATTCATAAGATAACTGATGTTGAATAAAAATATTCAATAACGTAAATAACTAGATAATATTGAAACGTAAGAATTGTGGTAGCAAATAATTAATAATTATTAAGGGTGTAAGTGGTAGATAAAACGCTGATGTTTTTCATAGCAGTAAACGTGTGGAGTTGTAATTGTAATTCCTCGGTTTCACCGAATTGCATAATGCTAGGAAACGTGTAGTGTCCAAGTTAATGCCTCACTTGTCCCTGCAGTTTGAAGGAAACGTGGGAAGGCATTATCTGTGGACAGTAATATATTAACAGTAGAACTACCGAGCCCTTAAACTGACTTTTGAGAATTTTACAAAAACTTTATTTAGAATTATTAAGTATACTTTAACTATATATAGAATTTATTAAGGCTTGAATAGGTTGAAATTTCAGCTTAGTTATTACTTAATCAGCTTCTTTGGTAATTCGCCAAAGAGCTGTTCGTACCTTTTCAGTAATCTCAAAAGGAAGCATCAAGGAATGAGTGATTTTGACTCATCTGGTAGTTCTAGTGTTAATATCTTACACTTCTGCAGCACTCAAAGGGTTAATACGTAGATCGAAGGGTCGATGGTTCTTGTGTCTTGTTCCTCATGTCTGACAATCGTCGAGCTGTATTGATTTTAATAACAGTTTAATATATTATACGAAGTGCCTGTTGAATAGAACATTGTGGATACTATACCTGATGGGAGTTCATACGAGTGGAGATAGCTGAAGAGTATTAGAAAGCAATTGGAGAGCACAGAAGCGTGTGAGGGGGAAAGGCAGCGAGGAGAATAGCGTTTGCTAAAGCACTACGTTAAAAGAAACGAAGACGGAAGTCGGCTGAAAAAGAAAATATCACAGATTCAGAACATGTGTGACGTTCTAAGATACAAATAATATATTTAAAATTAACTGTACAATGTGCTTCGATGTGGGATCTCCCTCGCGAGAGACGGTATACGTACAACTATACTTAATACTCAATTATAAATCAGATAATAAGCTGATCTAATCCTCTCTTATGTTCCTAGTCGAGCGGACTCATGGTATCTATCGCGCAGAGACGTCTTCTGGGTATGGGATGTGGCTGTGACAGGAATTGTGATTACAATTGTGAACGGTACCGTTTTGCATTTCTTATCCTAACAACATGTTCAATCCTCACGGGGGTTTCTCATGCGAACAGACGCCGTCCGAGGGATCAGACTGTGAAAGGAAATGAGAGTGATTAAAAGGTTTCGCAACAAATTCTGTTATATTAACAATATATTTAATCTCTAGCACACGGGGACAAACTCCACGTGTACAGACTGCGTTATATTCTGAATTGGATGCGTTGATAAAAACACTCGCGCACAAAACTGTCCTCCAACTGTAATACTTGGTTTCTCTAAACGCCTCTGGTCGGCCCGCGGGGAATGACTGACGGAAGGAGAATGGAAATCGCGCGTGCGACGCGCACCCTGCTCGCCACCCAATCGAACGGCTAATCTTCCTCGAGAAGAACGTCGTCGAGGCTCACACCCTGCAACAGACAGAAAAGCACACAGTCAGTAACTAAGAAAAACAAAGTGATCTCATTGACCCTAGGACAACCAAGTCTAGAGCTGTTACTTATGGAATAAATAATTATTAACCCCTTGCCTTATTCTTAACTATGATTCAATTTATATTGAAGTTAAATACGTCTAATCCAATTCAGTTTAAAATGTTTGTCATGAGTCTGATATTGCAGGACAAGGGGTTAATGTCTTGTTCAAACCAATCTTGAGAGTGCAATCCACAATGAATAATTCTATGAAATCCCTTGAACTTGGAGAACCGATGTTTCCCTCAAATTTGGTCGTCCCAGGGCTGATACATTGGCTGTGTTTCGTTGCACGGTTTACTGTGCCACAGTGATGGTGGCGATACCGTGGAAAGAATGTTTGTGGCTTCGAGAAGGAAAGCACGGTGAAATACAGTGGGCAGGGTTTCGCTTGAGTTTCTGTATCGGAGTGTTATGGCAATAAGGCTGTAAAGAGAATGAACCGTGACTGGCATGGAGTCAACAAGCCTTAATGGTCTCCTGTGTCGCTGCACTGATTTCGTGGTACGAGATCTTGGGGGCAAATGTGAGTTCAGATCGAGAAATAAATCTAAGGGGCGCAGCGAGAATTCTACTGTTAACTCTTCGCACTCGACAATGTCTTCCATTAGAAATATTCCATACTTTCTATTGAAATACTGCTTACCACTAAAGATTTTCCTTTATAATAAAAGATTACAATCTTAAAAAGATAAGATTTTTCTTATGTAAACTAAGAGTGAGAACTATTTTATCCCTACAGTTCATACGTTGGTACCTAATGCAAAATTGAATAATTAGTTTACCATTTTACTGAATGGAATGACTGAGTTGAATCTCAAGTGCGAAGGGTTAATATACAGTGGTATTTGTATCTGTGGCGATCCTTAAAGTTCAGTGTGTAGCGATAAAACAATATTTTGGATAAGTCCTCGAATTCAGTTGATAATTTCCGTTTTCTTCGTTTTCTCTTGATTACGTTCTCCTTTGCTCCGCGTTTCACCTTTCCCCGGTTTATTTAACAGGCCATTCGTTCCGCTCAATAGGTGGAACGTGTTCGCACACATCAATAGAGATCGATACACGTGCAGAAGCCGAACGAACAGGCGTGTGCCTGATACAAGCCCGCCTCAGACTGTTTTGGTAATGCAATACCCTTCTAGAGTTACCCGCCTGTATTTAAAGGTATTGAGCTATAGTTGCGCCTCTCTGTTCCTGCATCCCCCTCTTTCCCATCCGCTTGACCCCGATTCACCTATCTCATGATGGTGATATTATCCTAACCGACAACTACACTCTCAGAAACCATGAAACACAACCTGCTCGCATCGATAAATAAATACGAGGCAGAACTCTACATCTATCCCAACTTTCTGTATAGAAGATACAAATACTTTTGTATGTGTGTTTGTATATATGTATACGTGTGCAGATGTATGAGAGTGTGCAAACACTTACTTTTGTCTTTCAGAAGCACTTAGATGTCAGCATGCACAGTAAAAATGGTTGCATTAAAACCCAAAAGCAATTGAAAAAAAGGGACCAGAGAATCACGCGTGTAAAGCTCAAGGAACAAAGACACGATGAGTGTGATTAAGAAGCAAGAATGTTGCTGTAACAGGCTTACAGTCGTGTCGATGGTATCATCGATTTCGAGATCAAGGTCTAGATCATCCTCGTCCACCGTTAGTGGCCTCGAACTGCTAGTAGTCCTCGTCTTTTCGGGGACAGTCGGCTGCTTCTCGGAGGGCGCCGGCGTTGAGGTACCGATATCCAGGTCCAGTAACCTGTCCGTCAGAACCTCGGTAGAGGGCACGTCCGGTTCACTGGTACTTCCGGTGCCAGCCTTATAAGTGAATCGATTCGTCTGTTCCGCCGCCAGCATTTCCTCCAGGGGTGTCCGTTCCACGTTGGACTGCAATATTCGAAAAAGTCTTCTATTCTATTCGGCTCATTAAATTCGAAGAGGAACTTCCATTACATTCAGCAAAGTCATGGACTGAAGTCCAAGGTTCCCTACCTGCACCATAGGGAAAGCAGACGCCGGGATTTTCGTTTTACTCTCTTCCTTCAGAAACTGTTCCACCTTCAGCGCCTCACTGTACCCGGGAAACAGGTTTTCATACTGTTCCGGATCAGCCAGACTTTGTCCAGCTTTCTCGCTGACTGCTGACAGCTTCTCCTTCCACAGCTTGACGATGGATGATATTTTACTAGGCATATACGTCCTCGCGAAGAACGCAGCCTCGGGGATCCTGTCCGTGTTGATGAGGATGTCCAAACACTTGTCCAGATCTCCCAAGATGAAGTACGACAGGAAGGAGATGTTGTTCTTCCCCATGTCGCAGGCGTCAGTGCCGAGTTTCCGGATCATGTCCGCATTCCCGGTGCTGGTCGCGAGCAACAACAGTCCGCCAAAGTCTTGCGCTTGGTGCAGACACTCCTGTGCTAAGCACAGTTTGCCCTTCTGTGTCGCCAGAGATGCCAATTGCCGCCATTTCTGCTGGCTGTTGGCTTCCTTGGCAAGCGTGTGGGCTGTGGTGAGGTCCCCTAACGCCAGGGCCAATTCGAATCTGTGCTCTGGGTCTGTGGAGACGGCTAACGCCTGCTCTTTGAAACCCTGTTTCTCCAAGAAGTGCGCGACCCTGGTCCGGTGCTCCTTTGGGACTGTGGGAAGCACTCTGTCCGCGGTTTCGAAGTCCTTCCGCATGACGGCCGTCTGATACTCCAGCACGGACAGCAGCAGGGAATAGGAGACAACGGAAAGCTCTTTGTCGCACAAGTATAGCCTGTTGTCCTTGGGTACGTAGCCGAGTAGATACATTGGTCTGTCCAAGTGCGAGACGGTCACCACTTCTCCACCGACGAAGTAATTCACCCGGTTCACGCTGTTCGTGTAGATGAAACAGTCGCCGACCCAGAGACCGGTCTTCACCACTTCGCTCATCTCAGCGACCATCTGGAAGATGTCAAACGTTTTTGTAGAGATCTATAGACTTATCGCGGAATACCATGTGTCCAATGTACCTCGAATGCGTCTTCAATGTCCTCTGAATTTTCTGGTGCGTTTGCAACAACATCCGCGTGGTACTTCAGTATGAAGTATTGATCGGACGTGGCCAGTGCCACCAGCGAAGCATTCTCTGCCCAGTAGACGTGCGTTGGCTGGATGTCTATGCGGCGAATTAGTTTAACTGTGTCCCAGTCGAAGAAGGATAGGCCTGATCCGGATGATACTCCCAACAAAAATCCACCGAAAATACCTATAAAAGATACTGTGATGTAGAGAGAGAGAGAGAGACAGCAACAGGATTATTTGCAATTATTATGTTTACCTTCAGCTCCGAAGTCAGGTTTAAAGACTTTCTTCTCCTTGAAGTTCTTGAAAACCTTGACAACAGTGTTGCTTCCCCTTACAGCGTACTGACTGGAATCAGCTGCCCATACGAACTCTGATGCCTGACCGAAAGCTTTATTTCTTAGTACCATAGATGTGTAAATAATGTATTCTCCATCTCCACACACCACCAGGAATCTCCCATTAGGATTGTGTTGGATGGTTTGTGGATAAATCTCACAAGCACCCATATCCTTCACTGCCAATGGCAACCGTTCGCCATCCTGCGCTTCCTCGCCTAAGGCCTTGAGATTTACTTGCTGTATTTCACTATGTTTGGCCCAGACGATTTTACCGCCCAACGAGTCCATGGAGACAGCTGGCTCTTCTCTACCAACTTTTACCATAATGCTACCTTCGTCGTAACCAATTGCCACGTTGTTGGAGCCTCGCATACAAGCTATTGTCCATACCCGTTCGAAGCCGTAGTTCAAGGAAGATTCTAATCTGTATGTTCCTGCGTGCCATATTCTAACTGTCCCATCCTCTGAACCAGTAAGAATAATGGGCAGTTCAGGATGGAAGCAAACGGCTGAAATGTTTTGCGTGTGTCCTTCTAAGGTCTGTACACAGGTCTTGTTCTGATAGTCCCAGATTTTAACATATTTGTCATCGGCTCCTGATATTAAGTACGGTTTATCACCTCCATGGTAATAGTCTACACAATTAATACCCTTTTCGTGACCTTCTAGGGTAAAATTGGCAGTGGAAGACCCCAGCTGCCATACTTTTACTGTTCTATCTAAAGAAGCACTGGCAAATGTATTGTTATCCTTTGGATTGAAAACGATTTGCATTACATAGTGGGTGTGTCCCTCGAAAACTTGTTGTGCTATCCAAGCCTTTTCCCAGTTCCATAATTTGATTAACATGTCGTCTGAATAGTAAAATTAAAACTATTATAATGCATTGTAATAAGATATTGCAAATGCATCGATGAAATATTAAACATACCACTACTGGTTAAAATAAATGGTTGCGTTGGATGCACTGCTATGCACCTGACATAGTCGCTGTGCGCTTCAAAGGAATGCATTTGTTCCAGAGTATTGTAGTTGAAAACTCTGATTTGCATGTCATCCGATCCAGTGACAACCCAATTTTTCCTAGGCACAAACTTGGCTGTTCTGACTGGCACGTCGCATACTTCAAAAGTTTTAACCAATGTCTGATTTTCATGGTTCCAAATATTAACGTTTCCCTGGTATAACGAACATAGCATCCATGGTTCTGTCGGGTGAAGATCAATGCTCTTCACTCTATCCGAACGAGCAGTGAGCTTCCGCTTGATATCTAACCTGAGTGGCTGAGGAAAAGAATATAAATCCATAATTTTAGGAAGATGCATCTTATTCCATGATAATGTATATCTAAGAAATTACATCTACTGATTCATTTAACTTAACATTTGAAATTTTAATGATTCCATCCAGTAACAACTGACATGATAAAAAAAATGTAATATATTCTTTGGAAGTTAATATTAGAATGGGATTTAAAAGGGAGTGAAAGGAGTATCACATGTTGATCACGGGAGAAGGTTGTCACGCTGTGAAAACATTGTTTTCTCTATACAAGTGCAAGTGGATATTTTGACGTGTCAAACGAGGTAGGCTAAGATGCATTGTCAATAAAAGGGTGTCCACAGGTGTTTACCGGTGATACGTATTTTCTAACAATGGTTAATCAATTTTCCAACTACGTACCATGTTTCACTGTACAATTGGTTTTTCAAGTGTAGCAGATTCAACAAAATCCTCGAGAATGGAAACACATCAACGAATCTGAATCTCCTGCCAACAAGTTAGGACGTGGCCGATGCTTGCACTGAAAATGGCGTCCGTTCGCAGCAGCTTTTCGATTTCAAAATATACTAATAAATGAAACACCTTACCATGAATCAGCTTTTACAATGTTCTACATGATGCAAGAATTATTAGATTTTCTAATATGTTTATCGGGAAATTGTTAAATGTTTACGTGGACGTAAAACCGAATAGAGTCGAATCAGTTGATAAGATAACTAGGAACTGTACCTACATAGCTAACTTAATTGTTAACGCAGAATTAAAATACGTACAGACTGTGCATGCAATGTATTTCCACGGGCGGAGAATGCGGGTAGAATTAATAATCAATGTCAAATTTTGGTAGCACGTTTCCGAGGGTCCTAGGACCCCCTATCATTTTCCTGGTACACCCTGTCATACCGACTGCAGGCTGACACTGTACGATAACGCTAAAAGTGGCGGGAAATCAAATTAAAAATTGCAACAAATAAATATATAATCTACTTTATCGACTGCAGAACATCAATCATTGTCATTAACATAGTTCCCATATTGACAGTTCTCTAAAAATAGAGGGCGCAGCAAAATGATGTCGATAAATTAATTTATAACTAACCGTTGAAAAGTTACCAGTCAATTGTTTGTCGATAAATTAACTGTCAAAGGTATATCATCATTTAACATATAAAATAACAATTAAAAATTGCAACTTTCAGTTGTAGAAAATCATCACCTGCTCATGACTTAAGAATTGTAGTTACAATTATTATCATTTATAATATTTACAAATATTTTATAAACAACGCATTTTTAATATCCTTATCTAATAAACATTATGAATAAAATAAAAATTAAAAATTGCAACTTTAACTTGTAGAAAATCATCACCTGCGCATGAGCCAAGAATTGTAGTTATAATTATTATTATTTATAATATTTACAAATATTTTATAAACGCGTTTTTACATATCCTTATCTAATAAACATTATCAATAAAATAGAAATTAAAAATCAAATAAAAATATTGTGATCAACTTATTGTATAATGAACTTTACGATTCAAATCTTCTCAATTTTCCGCTAAAAACAGCGCCATCTAGGATAGCAGCTCAAAGCTATTAGCCAAAATACCTAACTTTCACCACCAGCCATCAGCCCCTCCGAAAATCGCTAATAACTCATTAACAACAACTCAAACCTGATTAAAACTCCACTAGAATATTCCCAGATATCCTGTTTAATTTCTCCAATCGCAAACATTCACCATTTACGCCTATTAACCGAGAAATTCAACAATTCCCGCAGCACATGTCACGAACTTCTAAGTTACCTTGCGACATCGTCCGGAACAATAATTAATAAATAATCAACGCGGAAGAAAATCCTATCCGAAGCGATATGAGAAAGTAGGGGAAGGTCCATTCTACGATCCTAAATTCCAAATGTTAACGAACGACTCATGGGAGTCAAGTTATTAATGAATTCGCTGTTGTTTTCCCCATCGACGCGTCGCTTTTAGTTCGCAGCTTACACCGCTAGATGGCGCCACTTCGATTGCTATCCCTGCGACCTCCTCGGTCCTGATGCTTCACGCGTACGCACCAAGGACTGATGAGATGCTTTTTCCAAGGAGGTGGCACGAGATAGACTATGTCTGTCCTTGTCGCACACTATCTCCGTTCTTGTCTTACACATTGCGGGTATAGGGAGAAGCTTCGAAAACGCACGTCCGCTAGATGGCGCTAGTGTCGCCTTTAACAAAATCTTCTATCCTTCTCGCACATTAGCTCTGTCCTTGTCTTACTCATTGAAAGGATAGGGAATACATTTACAATGGGTTTCCATGGATTGTTAATTATGATATGAGCGTCATTATGACATAAAGCGTAGCTTAGAATTATTGTTGTTTTTTTTATTGAAGGAATCTAAATATTTGTGACGTGATTATTGCTGTATTCGCTTTGTAATCCACTGATTTGGACTCATGGAAGTTATAATATTCGTTTATTGTTTAATTAATTATAAGCAACGATTTTATGTTATATCATTGGTAGGGTTTGTGCAACGAGTAATAAACAATTGACCCTTTGTATTCGGGAATTCTTCGTTAGAAATATTTAAACATTTTCTGATGAGGTAAAGACGATATTCCGTGGAACTAACTCGGAGAGAAGTTGTACGTACATTGAGCAACGAAGCTATTTTATTTCAATATTGTTTAAATTGATGTGTTACAAGGTATAATATTAATCGTTTGGATGCTAAACAACTTCTGTGAATATTTACCAAAAATGCGGAAGTGATTCTTGAAGAATATAGTAAGAAAATTACAATTGACACTGATAAACAAAAGCGCCTGCACGCTCTCCGCCATTTTGACGCAACACAAGAGCGCTATAGCGCTCATCAGCACTCAAACGGTTAAATATCAAATTTTATAGTTCCACTGTATGAAATCAAGTAGCGAGAGTCAAACAATTTTCAGTCGTCGAAGCTGTTTAATTTATTTCTTTTCCTCGAATCAACTCTGACGTCCAAGGACGAAGAAATTCTCTTTCTTTCTTCCTTCTTTCTTTCCATTAACCCTTTGGACGAAGATTCTCTGAAACAGACGAAATCCTCAACAGATGAAGCTAAATTATACATCAATCACTCGAACAATAGAAAAATAGGAAACTACCGAACTCTTGATGTTTCAGTAACTGAATCATTTGCTATTCAGTGCCCCGAACATGAAAATTCGATCGCGAAGGGTTAAATCGAATGGCAAACTTTTACTTGCTGTCTTAGCAGGTGTCAACCGATACTTTCAAGTGACACAACTCACCGTTGGTTGCTCCTACACAGGATTCCGGCTATTGTTACTGCTCCACCGAAGCGTTCGCAATAGCGTAACAGCGGCGCACCGTTGCTGGTAAGCTTATGTAAATCCTAATGGCAGCTCTTCCTCACCGAACACGGATTATTCTTCGACTTTCGAGCGGCGACACGTGATCCTGCGTTGTGCAACCAACAAAATTGCAGGAAGAAAGCTGGGTACTTTCATTTACCGCGCGCTCGTGTCTGGTTGCGGCGGCTAATACTGTTGGATCATCCCGTCTAATCCGAGACATTCACTCGGTGTAAGTTTACACAGGTATTCTGTGTAATTCGATGTGAATCAAAGAAAATTGAGAAGTGCCGAATTACAAGAAACATTCTCTTGACTAGTTAACTGTGGAATTTAGTTGGAAAAACCTCTGGTTCTGCAATAAAATCGAAAAATGTCGAAGGACGAATGCACGTAGAGTAGATTTTAATGAAAGATCAAAACGAAACAAGGAAGAATTATATGTTTAAAAATAAAGAATTCATCGCAGAAAAAGTAATTAGTATCGTGTCAAGCTTTACGATGACGTGTATACTCGTCGAACACAGTTAACTGGTTAATAGCTAAGCTTTAGCACGTCTCTCCTATTAAAAAGCAATATAAACTACAACACAATTCCACCATCGCAATACATAATTAACACTAGAAATACCGAACAGTAAATTGACTTTTCGAAATTTTTCTATAGAAACTCCGCCAGTGAAAATTCAATTTACCGATCGCTGAATCAGTTTCTACAGTAATTTCTCCTAGAATAATCCCTTATCTTCCTACTAATTGTAAAAATGAATCAAGAATAGGTCATTTTGACCTCTAGTTCTATTGTTAAGAACCTCTACTACTAGAATAACTCAACACTTCAATCATCCAAGTCTAAATAAATGAACTAATTAACACTAGCACTACCGTACCAGTCAAAATGACTGGTTTCGATCTTTTTGTCTATCAATTATTGATATCTTCGAAGCATTGAATATTCGAAATGACTTTAAAAATAAATAGCTTCATTTCAGTACTATAATAAATGTCCGAATAAACTGAAAATAATCTATCGTTACAATTTCTATAGGAACTGCGTATTAATCGTCTTAAACGTTCAGTAGTTCTAGTACTAAAGATCATTCCCACGCCTTCGATTCGTCTTTGCAACGAAGATTTCGGTCCTTATCCGTTATCGTCGATCACGAATGACTCGCCGAGGCTTTCTCGACAGAATGATTCCGTTCCCTCCCATAGATTTGTCGCGAGACTTCATTTTTTTACCTTTCCACGTCGCCGAGCGGCGACGAAGGATAAAACGGTGATCGAGGAGCGTTTTTTCTGGAAATATCCGCGATAGGCCGGCCGCTCCGCTCCCATCGACGACTTTGATGAACGATAGCCGCGCTCGATCCTAATATTTCATTCTTCGTAGGCCGCCGCGTTGCCATTTTCATTTCGTGCCGCTTTTTTCTGTTGGCCTTTTACGTCCGGCCGCGCCACCGTAAACTCGCCGCGCGCGCGCGCGCTCCGGCGCGGCCGTGAATTTTTATTTATTCATCTGCGAACGGCTTTGTTGCGCAGATAAATTATCTCGTCGGATAAGTACCTATATATGTACGTGCTACTTGCAATCGATAGTTAAGTCTCCGCGTTTTATTCCTCGGGAACCTGATAAGATTACGCGAAAATCATCGGGACACTTTTTACAGTACGTTACTAACTTAATCTTGTATCTCCGTGATTACTGTACTTTAAGTAAATAGTTGTAATTTACTGTGGAACTACTGAAGAGTAAAATTAGTTTCTTGTTATTTTACTGTGAGAATTATAACTGTTAACGTTTCGTTTGGTTTGTCACTCGTCTTGCGTGTCAGTGAAGTAATTACTTTGTAATTTTTTTCATTAGCATTTGTATCTTTTCGATAATTGCGAAAGAAGGAATTAAGAATGGAAATCATCTGGTAGTACTAGTGTTAAAATATCTCAATAATGAATAGTTTCGATGATTTCAGATATCTATTATTCGACAAGTATACACGTCGTCGTAAAAAAAGCAATAAATTCCATCTATACAAAAATTGTTCATTACTTCCAACAATCCTTTGCATTCCACTTTACTTTCCCACTGAAACGCATCGTTCCTTTGACGTATATACTCGTCATTGCTTCGTTTAACACGCAGAACGCCGCACGATTTCATAGAACAAAATGCACAAAATGAGAAAAATATAATATTACATCATTTGATTGAATTGCATTATTATTATTATTACATGTTCACCTAGCTGAATGTCACCGCATTCGGTAGCATTGTTTACAATATAGAAATGTCGTCAAATAATCATCTTTCAATTAAATGAACTATAGTAATTCGATTTAACCCTTTCGTAATATGAAGTGTTCATGTTTCGAAGACTAAGTTGCAAACAAATGATTTAATTACTCGAACACCAAGAAATCAGCATATAGCTTCTGGTTTTCCTATCATTTCAGTAACTGATGTATAATTTAGCTTCATCTGCTGAAGATTTCGTATATTTCAAAGAATCTTCGTCAGCAAAGTGTTAATTGGGGGTCACCGGTGATCCCCATGGAATTCAACGTGTTAAGTTACACTCAACAGATTTCCAAAATGAATTCCACAGTTAACAGGCTCGAGTAACAAGTATATTCGTCATCATAAAGAAAGCAATAAAATCAATCTATCCAACGATTATTCATTACTTCCAACGATCCTTTCTATTCCACTTTACTTTCCCATTAAAACGCATCGTTCCTTCGACGTATATAGTCGTCATTGCTTCATTCGAGCTACATCCGACAGATTTTCGAAATGAATTCCACGGTTAACAGGCTGGAGTAACGCTTTTCCAGCGCGAGTCGACTTTCGAGGCCTCGATTATCCGTCGAGTGGATTATCTTTCCGCGGAGGACGGATTCCTAACGGATTAACGACGCCGGCGCGGCGCCGCTGACACGATAATTACCCGGGCCGTGTCCCGCGAGATTAATCTACGAATCTGGATTGTCCGCGTCGAATTATCACCGACTGTCCTTTCCCGGGCCGACCGATTAACACGCCGGACAATTAACTGCGAGCAGAACCAACTTTATTAGGAGTTTCCAAGCGGACGATTCTTTCTTCGCCGATCTTGACCCGTTTCCATTTTCTTCCATTTTCTTGCTGGACCTGAGAAACGCTGGATTTACCGGCGTTTCTTCTGTGGTACGGTCTATTGTTCTTGGAAAAATTCATGTCTGATTGTTTCACCTCTTTAACGCGTTCGCTGGCAGCGTTTCTTTCGGCGATCGCAGCTGTAATATTCTTATTATTAATTAATCATTACTATTCGTGATTGAAACTAGTTGAGTCTTCGAATGCAATGCAGCTTGTAACGAATGAAGAGGATAAATATTCGATTACTCGATAATTACTGGAAATTATTTTTATCTGGAGCGATCTACTTATTCGAGATTCTGGTTGTATTGTTTGTTGACGCGATCGGAGAGCCACTAATAACAAAATGATCTGGAATAATGGATTCTGACCCAGTTTTGCACGTCCACTGTAGAATAACGTATCATCCTCAAATAATTACGCGTTGCTTCGTTGCGGGAAGCGTTTCTTGGAATGATTTCGTCATCGGAGATCCCTATGTTTCTACAAATTTGTATCTAGTTGCAACAAAGTCAATTATTTTATTATTAACATTCAGATTCTAGAATTCCCAGATTGTAAGCATTCGAAATTTTCAATTTTAAACCCTTGAAACTTCCAAACTTCCAAATTCACGACTTTTCAAACATTCTGCAATAATGATTTCGTCATCGGAGATCCCTATATTTCTCTAAATTTGTATCTGGTTGCGACACAGTCAATTATTTTTACTATTAACGTTCAGATTATCGAATTCCCAGACTGGAAGCATTCGAAGTTTTCAATTTTAAATCCTTGAAACTACCAAATTTCCAAGTTCACGACTTTTCAAACATTCTGCAGTAATGATTTCATCTGAGATCCCTATGTTTTTCTAAATTTGTATCTGGCTGCAACAAAATCAATTATTGTCATTATTAACGTTCAGATTCTCGAATTCCCAGATTGCAAACACTCGAAGTTTTCACTTTTAAACCCTCCAAACTTCGAAATTTCAAAAATCACAAATTTTCTCCAAACTTCCAAATTTCAAAAATCACATTAATTCTCTATAATTCCAACTGAAGAAAGCAGTCCGGAACGAGTGGCGCGTAAAAAAACTGGTTTAGTTAGATCCCAAAGCGAGTCTAGATCGTGATTCAGCGCATCATTCGCGCGAAGACGAAATCGTGATCGTATTTTCGAGATTGAAAGAGGAATCGGAGCGACCTGGTTCTTTCTCTCGGGCTGTGCTCAAGGCCCAAGACGCATTGTGCGGTCGCAGGCCGTCATTTTCGCCGTGCAACGGTATATTGCGAGCGTAAAAAGGAAGACGCCTTTAAAGAGAAAGAAGCCGGGGATCGATTTGCGGGATAATAACGGCAGGAAGCAGGAATGGGACGCTGGAAACGAGATCACGGGACGTTCTTGCTCAACCAGGCCGTACAATCACGCCCTTCTTACTTGGATCACAGAAAAGGGTTACAGAATAATAATAACGATAATTATAACAATTGCAAAGGATCGTAGAATAATGGCGACAGTAATCATGAGAATTCTAAATGATCGTAGAACAATATTCACGTTGACAAATTCGTTTCCTTTTAACCTTTCTAAAGGATCTAGATTTCTTAAGGCATTCTTTCAACTTTTGTAACATTTCTAAAGGATCTAAAATTCTAATAGATCGTAGAACAATATTTACGTTGTCAAATTCACTTCCTTCACCTTTTCTGAAGGATCTAAATTTCTTAAGGCATTTTTTCAACTTTTCTAACTTTCCTGAAAGATCTAAAATTCTAAACGATCGTAGAATAATGGCGACAGTAATTATGAGAATTCTAAATGATCTAAATTTCTTAAGAAAATTTCTCAACTTTTCTAACTTTCCTAAAGGATCTAAAATTCTAAAGAATCCTAGAATAACATTCACATGAACAAATGTACTTCCTTCAACTTCCTTCCATTAAAATCCCTCAAAGTTCTCCCAATTAACCTAAATACGAACCCGAAAACCAAATTGCAGTATCCAGTCTCCGAAAACAATAGATTTTTCTAAAAACGATCGACCTTTTCAGAGAAACAAGTGTTACGTGAAAACTAAAACCGACAACCAGTAAGAATCACTTAAAATTTGTCAGTCGTAAAGCGCAATTGGCAGAGAAATCACAGTTAATCCGGATAATCTCCGTTCGTATATTATTCGCGCAAAAGAAGAGCGCACGTAATTGTTGTAACGCCCGGTTGTTAAAAGCGAC